GCATACCGCCGCTAATGCCGTTTGGAGAGCGTAGGCTTCCGCGGCGTGTCAGTATTTTAACTTGGCTTTCGGGTGACGCCGGTCTAAGCAAGGTGACGAGTTTCGGTCGCCAAACGTCGTTAGTCCCGTACGTGTAGTGCAGGTTTTTTTTGTCTCGCGGAAGGTGGACGTGATCTTCCCCACCTGGATTGCGAGATCCGGCGCCCATCTACCGTCGCCGTGCGGGGTTTCTCCAAACAGATACTTTCCACCAGCGAGGCACCATTCCAATCGGAAGAAGCTCTAAGCTCCCGACAGGTGTGGTAGTGTAGGGCATGTAAGTAGATGTAAGGGGTGAGGATAGGATAAGGAACACGGTGGAAAGACCACGCGGTCCGTGGCGTGTTTGTTAGGGTATTACTCAAGCATTCGCCTGGTGTTGAGCGGAGAAACGTCGGAAATCTACCGATCTGAGAAGTCGGCCGCTAGAATTCTCCAGACAGCGACTGAATTCGACCTAGCTATATCGAAAATCCTGCCGCCATCGGGACTCCAACCCTAGGACCTTCCGGTCAGAGATACTGCAGTGACAATTGATCCCCTGAACCACCCAAGACAACCTTTTTTGTTTCGAACACGTTGAATCACTTTGTTACCGTTCTTCATGTTGATAAGGTCCAGACAGATTTCCCCACAATCACGTAGGCGGTTGCTCGTAACAAATTCAAGGACTGCGCCTTCTAGAATTGTCTCCATTGGTTGTTCTTGAAGGGTTGTTACATGTAGGGGTGATTTGTGAAAGCGGAATGAAAGGTGAATAACAAACACTCTAACCCATTCAGAGTGAGACTCGATTAGGATAGAGCGTTCCCACCTATCTATGACTTTTAGGCTATATATTATGAACACGATAGAATAGAGTATGAAACTCCATATAATGGTCTCATAGAAATTAAAATTGGAAAGCGCCTGGTATGGGCAATTATATAAGCATCTACCAGAATAAGCAAAAATTGACTCCTAGACTTACTAAATATCTTCGGCAACAAAGAAATAATCCTGAAAGCTGGAGAACAGCCCTGGTTGTCCCAATATTAGGCGTTTGTTGTCCCAATCCTCAAGGGAGGCTCAT